GGACAAAAAGCGATATTAGAGAGTTTAAGCTTCACGTTTCCGGGAACGGCAAACGGCAGGTTTGAATTTTCTTGGCAAAATTTTTGTTGAACGTTTTCGTTTCATATTTTCTTTCTTGTGTCGAAAGAATAATTATATATTTCAGTTTTAAAACAGCAAGCTAATTTACTATTTATTGCCTGATATCGTAAAATTTTTCTTTGCTTGGCGTTTGCCGTTTGACGTATAACGCGAAGCTTTTAAAAACTCTCTATTAGTGACAAAAACCGATATCAGTGACAAAAAGCAATATCAGTGACACAAAAATTATATCAGTGATAAAAAGCGATATCAGTAGCATATCGTTTTTACGTCACCCCGTTATTGCTCTGATAAAGGTGCAAAGTATGTGATAAATATAAATATATACAGCTAATTCCAAAAAGGTTGTCCTTCAAAAATTTTAAACCTTAAAAATTGAGCGTGCAAGGTATAATGTGTAACTTCCTATTTTAAGCCTTAAACTCGGGCAATTTGCTTTGAAACAATACTATAGGGTTTACAGCTATTTCAATTAAGGTTGTCCCCCGAGTAAAGTGGAAAAATCGAATACGAGCGCGAAAGGCTGCTGGGATTCGCTAATAAATGAATGAATTTATTAGCGATCCCCAGCAGCCTTTCGCGCTCGTATTCGACTATTCCGCTTTGCTCGGGGGAAAACCTTAATTGAAATAGCTGTATATAATGAACACTGTCGTCTGTCGATGTATAGGGCGATTCATTAAACCAATATCTAATCTCAAACTCCAAATAAGCAATGACCATCATACCTTGCGCGCTCAATGTTTAAGGTTTAAGATTTTTGAAGGACAACCTTTTTTGAAATGGCGTTTAATTGGGTGTTAAACAATACATGCAATTTGAGAGAAAATTTGAATGTAAACCAATGGAAAAAACACTTAATTGAATAATTGAATAATTTGACAACATTGATTAGGGAAAAAATATTTAACTTCCTTCAATTTCGGAAATTTTACTGGACCAAGCATTGTTCTACCTTTTCTGGGTTCTCAAATTTGGCATATACAACTAAAGACGAAATTTCAACAACGAAAAGTTTGGCAAAGAAAACGTCAGCCTGTATATAGAGATCGTCGACGGATTGGTAATCATTACAGGAAACGCAAATTTAACATGCAGTCAACTTCTCAGGTGTCACTTGGTGTTTTTTTTTGGATTTCCTCACCATGTGTAATTCTATTTTTTATTTATTTGTGTATGTGTGTATTTGCTTGTAATTAAAGTTATAATATGGTAAATTATTAAATTCATATTCAAACATTTCTACCTCAGCAATGGAAAATACAAACCTTAAGCCTGGCGCACACGATGCGATTTTAGTCGGCCGATAAAAATCGTTTGACTAAAACTAACAAAATCGTTGTGTGTGCGGTGTCATTTTTAACCGATTTTTGTTGCTCGATTTTAATCGGACAACATCAAAACGTTTTGATATTATACAATTTTTATCGGTGGAATTTTAAGTATAACCAATCAGATTTCATGCTGTGATCACGTGCTTGTATTTATTTGGCAACATGGCGGCTACAGTTCAGGGAGCATATTGTTTTCGTAATCGTGTGCGGAGTATACTGATGTATATCGGTATGTCAAACGATTTTTATCGGCCGACTAAAATCGCATCGTGTGCGCCAGGCTTTATTGGAAGCCCAATGATGACCTATATTAGCCTAAACATCATCAAATCATCATCAAGTATCCTTAAACAGCTACTACCTACATTCATAAACAAGCGTATTTCACTTCTCTCGTCAGACGAATAAACATTTCAGGAAACTGCACTTATTAAGGAACAATAACTTCAATCACAAACTGAGCTACACGAAGGAAGCACCATAACAAACACGCGGAAATATAGGCAATATCATCAGGGGCGGCGCTAACCCCCTTCGAGTGTGTGGGGGGGGGGGTTGTGAGTGATCTTTTGCCGACTGTTGTTTGGTAATTTTGCCGAGTCATTAGCCTATAGTGAGGGTCCTGAAGGGGGGGGGGGGGTCCCAACCCCATTTTCCACCTGAAATTTTGGCAAAATCCCAGTCCCAGTTGGATTTTTATTAGAAATCCCAGTCCGAGTTATTGAAATCCCAGTCAATAAAAAACCCTTTATTTATCGGTAGAATAAACAGTTTTAAGACCTTTTAAGCCACCGTGTGTGCAAGTGGCGGACACTTTACGAAATATTTGGGGGGGAGCGGTGCCGAAGGCACGGAAAATTTTTAAATTTGAATCCCGGAAATGGCATTTGCATCATTCTGAGACACGCATAATCGGAAAACCCAGAATTCTGGGCGCCAGAGCATGCTTGTTCGCAGGTAGTGCTGTGAATAATATAGTTAACAACAAAAATCATGACTAAAGACATCAAAAACGGATCAAAATTGGGAATCGACTCACATTACTTCAATCCCATTCCCATTTTCGAGGACTTCATTTCCCATTCCCAGTGGCCACATCCCAGTCCCAGCAACCCAAATCCTATTTTCCCAGTCTAAAAATAGATCAATCCCAGTTCCCATTTTACCCCTTCAGGGCCATTTTGCAGCCCTCGAACAGTCAAAACCGTCAAAACTGAGGTCAGCAAAAGAGGGCCGACCTAAATCTGACCTAGGTCGGCACATCTCGGCGTTTCTTAAAATCTGTTCCACGTCTTGGAGCACTATTAATCACGCATTTACGAATCATTGAAATCGGAAATAACTGGAACGTTACCTCCAGCCGGAAAATTCGAAAGTTGGAGCCAAATTTTAACTCCAGTAGCGCGAAATTTGATCTTCAGACACCTGACGTATATACACAATACTGACCCGTCAGTTTTTAAACCTTACACCGTAGTGTTCAGTTAATCGAACTACGAATCGAATTCTATAATCGCTGACATTTTAACAGCTATCAGCAGCAAAAATTCTTACTTTGGTTGAATTAAGGTAGGCAAAATTTGCATTTAGCCCGGCATTGCCGAATGCCGACCTCGTTTTCGAGGACTGATTTTGCCACGTCTTGCTGACGTAATAAGTGACACCGACAAAGGAAAAAGGTCGCTTCGTGCGAGAAAATTCGCTAGTGGAAAACCGACTTTATTGCCTCTTTTATAGAACAGCATAATAACCACCACCACCACCACCACCACCACCACCACCACCACCACCACCACCACCACCACTACCACTACCACTACCACCACCACCACCACCACCACCACCAACAACAACAACAACAACAACAACAACAACAACAACAACAACAACAACAACAACAACAACAACAACAACAACAACAAACAACCAACTAAATTTAATTACCTAATTATGATTTCAATAATATTATGTTTTTGGACTGAAAGAAGTGAAGATACTGTATTCGAAAGAAGTTGCATTGCTGCATGTCTTATCTTGAGCGTCTGAGGAAACTTAATTTATTGCCTATATCTTACTGGCTTGAAATAAAGGATCTCATCTTTTTTTTCAAATGCAAACAAGGCCTCTACGACCTAGATATCTCCTCTTTTGTCACCTTTTCTTCCAATCGCTCATCTCGCACCCGTTCAAGCAAGGACAACTTGCTTCAAGTCAATCCGTGCAAAACCTCTCTTTTTAGAAACTCTTTTTTTAACCGAATTGTCTTTCTATGGAACAATCTCTCTCCAATCATTCGTAACAGTTCGTCTGTTTCATCCTTTAAGTTCCAGCTCCATTCTCACTACTCTTCTCAATTAGACTCTTCTTTCGATGTTAACAGAATGCGCACTTGGAAAACCTACTGCTCTAAATGCCGTTCTTTCAACTTAAGCTGTTGCTCATAATCTAAACTATTAATTTTTATATAGCTATGTAAATAGTGTTCTAGTCCTTGTCTTTAATGTATGTCTACTTATTGTATTGTATCAGGTTGGTCTTCACATGGGACTCATGTCCTGTTGACCATACCTTCAATCATTGTTATATTTTTTGTATGATTGTAAAGTTAATAAATAGAATGTTTGGTTTCTTTTATGCATGCTATTCGTGATATTCGGTTTGAATTCAATTATTCAGGTCAATTTTGGTTTCTTCAGTGGTTATCTTTGGCCAATCCAGTTTTGCCGACTGAGATAACAATTTGCCGATTAGCTGACGAGTGGGGGGGGGGGGTTGTCCCCCACCCCCACACCCCCCTGTAGCGCCGTCCTTGAATATCATTTAGTTCATCCCTCCATTCAGTAGAGTGTCAAAATCAACATAGGACGCAAATATCTGAGCTTAATGGACCTTTAACCTAAAACTAAAATTTTGATCTAGACAAGTCTAGACAAAAATTTCATCACAGCTTGAAAGAGCATCGCAAAATTAGTAATATTCCGAAGTTTCGTTGCGAAATGTTGTAAAATGCGGATAATATAGCCTTGCGAAGTTTGCAATTTTCAGTCATTTTAGATTACAAACGGGAAATTGATACCAAACACCCGATTTGAGTATCAATTTCCCGTTTGTAATCTAAAATGACTGAAAATTGCAAACTTTGCAGGGCTATATAATTATTATCCGCATTTTACAACATTTCGTAACGAAACTTTGGAATATTACTAATTTTGTGATGCTTTTTCAAGCTGTGATGAAATTTTTGTCTAGATCAAAATTTTAGTTATAAGGTTAAAGGTCCATTGAGAAACATTTCCCACCTAATCACACACAAGCTTCATAAACGTTTTAAACAGAAACAGAATATTTAAAAATTTAAAAAGAAAAAAATTCACGAATTATGGTGCATTTTGAAGTTATAATTTGTATACGTTCTCTATGATGCAGATCGAATCTTGAGCTATAAATCAAATTAAATACAAACATGACGCTGTTTTGTTACTGTTACATTATACACAGACATGCACTTACGTTTTCTGTATTGTTTTGTGATGGAGTATTCGTAATCGATAGTGTATTCTTTGTATTCAGTATTGAAAATGCAAGATGATCTGGACGTGTGTTTTATCACTTCTTGTGCTCACATCTGGAGGTAAGCCTTTAATGCATCGCTAACTATTCAATAGACCTTTCCGGTAATTACGTCACAACTGCACTGTTTTCAACTTAGGACCACCTTAAATAGAATAGATTTCAAGTTGTTTTTTTTCACGGGCTGTGGTCAGAAAAGCAGAACATCCTTTGTCAACACATGCATAAAAAGAATTTTGGATTTTGACTATTAAATGTGGAAATAAGCTTAAACACGAAAACGAATCTGAGCGGTCATGGCCCCTGTTGGCCCCTCAGCCTGGTTTTAAACATCCAAAATTCTTTTTTATGCATGTGTTGAAGAAGGATGTTCTGCTCCTCCGACCATAGCCCGTGAGAAACAAACTTAAAATCCACTCCATTTAAGGTGGTCCTAAGTTGAAAACAGTGTTAGTCGTGACGTAATTACCGGAAAGGTCTATTACTATAGCATTATTGGTTTGTGTCATACTTGGCGTCTAACTATGTCCAATCGAATAATATGTTAATATTTATTTGAAGCCTATACATTTATACATAAATTTCATTTGCCTCGCAAATGTTGGCTCAATTTGTCCTTTGGTATAAGAACACATTCCAGTGATCCAAAAACGAGTGCTGGATTGAGCATCAGTTTTCAATTCAAAAGCTACTTTTAAATATTTTGAATGATTGTTTGCACATTCATGGTAGATATGCTTGGGTTTATTACTGTGATTATCGGACATCTTGCATACGTGATATGTGTAAACTAGACTTTACTTGATGAAAGCCAAAGTAATCCATCTTACACTTAATTTCATTTTATATTTGTTTACTTAACAGCTGGCAGGACTGTCGGATATCAACCTCAGGATGAGGTATTATTGAAACAACAACCGTACGAGATCAGTAATGCTGCTATGGGGCAAGGCATCATACGGCTACCTCGAGAAATAGGTATAAATAAATATTGAAACCGATTAAAGATGTATTAAGTGTAGCCCGAAACATGCATTCATTCAGCCAACATAACATGATACATTATGTTGACTGAATATGGATGCAAATACATTTCCTTACCTATTAACGTTTGAAACTATTATCGATATTATGAATGCACTAGATTTTCTAAGAATCTAGTCGCAAAACATGACAAGCTACGTAGATAATGCTACTATGAGTGGCTCCAAAACAGGCAAGCTGAAAAAATGTCCTCGACCGCAGTGGGAATCGAATCGAATCCGCGACGTTTGGTTTGCGGGATAAATTTGTCACCTGTTTGGAGATGTTTGAACAATAACCGTACGAGACTGTTTTAACACCCAGTTCAGAAAGGCTGATAAATAAAAACCTCACCTTCCATTTAGCCCCGACCCACTATTGACCACTATTAAATCAATTTCAAAATAGACATATTTAAGCCCCCCCCCCCCTCCCCAGGAGGCTAAATAGAGGAAATACAGTAAACTACCAATGAAATGTTTTATTCGAATAGATGAAAGTGTAGAGGAAGCACAAGCCAAGTTATTTAATGTTGATCGGGCGGCAGATGCTGTAACTGGTATCGAGCGAGGTGTTAAAGCGGATCCAATGTACATTGAAGGTCAGACAGATCAAATAACACGACAGCTAAAAGCGGACATTGCAAGATATAAAGCCGCAAAGAAAGACAATGTGGCTAGAAATGATGAAAGTGTTGTATCTCTTGCAAAGCGAATTCTAAAAATTGTGACAACTCTAGAAGTTGCCAAGTTCATAGCGGACAGCAGGGCTCGGGATGGTATTGAAATGGCCCAACGTCGAGGTATACATCGTCCAACTGCATATCAATTTCCACAATATAATTATGGTTATCTTTACGGTTTACCTTCGGGGAATCCTGTTCAAGATATGACTCAACCTTATCAACAGCCACAGCAAGATGCTGCATTCGCAGAACCCAGTAACTCAGCCACCGCCGCGCCGGCTCCTCCTCCTCCTCCACCATCATCATCACCACCCCCACCACCACTACCACCACCACCACCAGCACCACCACCACCAGCCCTTCCACCTTTACCAGCAATTCCTCCACCAATGTTAGTACCCCAAGATGCAGCACCTCCTCCACCAGTCCAACAACAAGAATTACTTCCAGGTTTTGTCCCAACAACGAATGCATTCACGAAAGAAAACCCAGAGGCAGTATCTCCAGCGAAATCGAAACCTATCATTCCACACCTCAAACACACTCCAAAACACCACGTGCAACCAAAAAAACCACATGTTCCAGCACAAAAGCCCTCTGGGGTGATCACCCCCGAAGATCGTGCTCAGTGGAGTATCTTTGGGGAATCTTTACCATTGGCACCACAAGCAGAAAATAATCCTCCTCCCTTGCAGGTAAAAATGATTCAAACACTTGTTATCAGGTAAATTGTCCAATTTGTAACTATTTGATCTTGTCCAAGCTTTCGGAATATAATAAATTTTCCCTCCTTGAAAGCCCTCACACAGTAAATATTAGTCTGTTCTTTAAAATGTGAATTAACATGATGCTCCATATAAAGAATACTAATGACGTAACGTTAACTCCAATCAATATATTTGAACGTGTACTTTTGTGGGCCTGGCGCCAACAAAGCATATCCATATATCGGTTGGCGAAAACAGTTCTAGACCAAATGTAAGGGCCAGCTTAGTTTGATTGTTTGCTGAAAACGCATAAATTTTCATCTATAGAAAACGATTTTGCTTAGAAGTGGAATGAAATTATCGTGGGGGATAGTTAATTTCAGTTTCTGACTTAATCGATATTCATATTTTCATATTTTAAAAATAGGCGCCTCAAGTCGAACAACCACTAATGCCAATGACGGAACAATTCACCCCCACTGGGATGACCGAACAACCAATAAATCCCACACCACAAGAAACGCAAGCCGAGTTTTCTACACCATCAGAATCTAATTCACATGATTTGCCAGGGCTTCGTCCATTGGACAGTGATTTAATAAAGCATGAGCACCATGAAAAGAAGCCAGAACTTTCAGTGAAACCACCTGCCGTACAGATGGAAACACAATCTCCAACCCATCTTCAAGCAGATATTTCTCCACCCCAGGCGTTTGCGGCACAACCAGCCGCGCCAGCAGTTCCGCCCCCCGCGCCAGCAGTTCCGTCCCCCGCGCCAGCAGTTCCGCCCCCCGCGCCAGCAGTTCCGCCTCCTGCGCCAGCAGTTCCGCCTCCCGCGCCAGCAGTTCCGTTTTCCGCACCAGATGTTCCGCCACCCGCGCCAGCATCTCCTTCCTCCGCACAAATGGATTATTCAAATGAAATGTTTCCATCAATGCAGCCAGATGTTCCCATGGTCCCAATGCCCCCACCTCAATTCTTTGCACCGAATTTCATCCCATTAGCATCGATTCCACTTCCTGTGTTTTTACCAGGTAAATATGATTTTTCCATAATGATAATGCTAAGAAATGTGATCCACCTTATGTTAAGTACCTCTGCAATCTGAGCTTCCTTGCATATATCCGCACTTTCTCCAAGTTGAAAAGTGAACAGGTCTGTTATAACTGTTATAAATGTACCTACCTGTATGAGCATGTTTTCTGACTGGGTTTTTGAAACATAAGTGATTATTCTTCATGATGTGTTCTTTAGAGTTCAGAAAGATGATTTTTGTAGTTTATTTCGTCTTATTTCCATAAACCACTGGTCACAAAGCTTTATTCATAGAGAACAAATAAACTTTGTAACGCATGGGGGTTGAAAATTGAAATTACATCTATGGTTTATAATATTTGGTAGTTAAAAGTTAAAATTTACAACAATAGTTATATAGTTATTCATGTACTATTTAAAGCACGCGTAGGAGTGTTTTATCACATATAAAACACGACGCGTAGCGGAGTGTTTTATATATGATAAAACACAACTACAAGTGCTTTAAATAGCTTCAAAAACGACTCATCTTATACGAGTTCATTGGCGAAGTAATTTTTAAAATAAACTTTTTCTAAACCGAGAAAATCAAAGCTAAAGTTTATGTAAATTATCACATTATGATTTTTCTTTGTGTTTTGCTCCTGAATTATTAATGAGTTTTTGAAATATATTTTAGAGTTTTTCATAGTTATTTGGTTAATGTATTATATACATATATAAGTATCTCCTAGTATAGCGTAAGTTGATTTAGGAGTGTCAGATTAAAAATTAAAGATAAGCGTGATAGGTCTACTAAGAGTTTCACCTGAATTGAAATATCGCAATCATTAGATGAATGAAAAATAGTTGTACAGATAGATAGACAGATAGACAGTTAGATAGATAGTTTAATAAATCAAATATCGAAGCCAAAAAAAGGCTGAATTACAAATGATTTACAAATGATATGAAGTAAAATACTAAGTTCATTATTTAAAGTTCATTGTTGCTTAATATATTACTACGCTAGAAACTACAACGTCACTTTCCAATGGACGACTTACGCTTTAGAAAAATTTTTAATCTGGGAATAACAAAGGATATTTTCTAATATAGCCCTGCGAAGTTGGCAAATTTGTATACATTTCTATTACGTGCGGAAATTGGTAACTAATTTAGTTACCTATTCACGCACGTAATACAAAAGTATACAAATTTGCCAACTTTGAAGGGCGATATTTTCCGTATTTTACAACACTTCGCAACCAAACTTTGTAATATTAATAATTCCAAGACGCTCTTTCCAGCTGTTGTGATAGATTTCGTTGTTCTTACTTAGAGTAAAATTTAGTGTAAAGCGCAAAAAAATGGCTGAATTACAAATAATTTACAATTGATATAAAATTATTTACAATTCATTGTTTCTTAAACTATTACTACGCTAAAAATGATAAAAACTACAACGTCACTATAGTTATGAGGGCCCATGCCATTACTGAACTTCGCATGCGACTTGACCTTTACAATACTATCTTAACAGTATTATTTGACCTTAACCTCTCATTTATAGATGATACACCAGACGTCAGGTTGGCAAAGGAGAAGGATTTTGAAACTCGTAGGTCGGCCATTGCGGTGGAAAACATTGAAAAAGCTATCGGCTTAGACGAGAAAACAATAGAAAGTCTCATTGATGATGTGAAACAGGTATCTCAACGTCAAGCAAACCAGTATGAGAACGCCATTTTGAAAGACAGAAAGGAGGAAGAAGAGGCTAAAGGAGAAAGGAAAGTGGAAACAGAAGACAAATTATTACGAGATGAAGAACTCGAGGGAAAAGCAAAAGAAACCGTGGATCAAATAAACCGTTTAGAGAAAGTAATGACAGTAGTCGAGGTAGCGAAATTTGATGCAGAGAGAAGAGCAGGTCAACAACTACAGGCTGCCGAAGCTTGGAAAGATAGAATGAATGGTAGAGCTAAGAAAAGCAAGATAATGAAAGTTCCTGAAAAGAACTCGGTAAAGAAGACCGCGCGTCATATTCTTGAAAATATCATTAAAAAAGAGAAATACCGTAAGAACGCCAACAAGGGTAGCAAAAGAAATGGAACACAATCCCATAAATCACCAATTCACAGTGTTCTTGATAAAAATACCAAGGACTATCGAAGTAAGAGATCGTTTTCAAGTGATTCAGACACAAAAGACCTGCTTCGCATAAAGTTTAAAAAAATCGGAAAACTTGCTAATGAAATTCTAAAAAACATTCAGAAATAACTCAGAAATAACTTTCCACGTTCCGTTAATCACAAACGTTTGTAATATATGTATGTAAAATATAAATAGAATAAACTGTAAAATTTTACAAACCCTAAAAAACCCTGATGATATAAACCCTAAGTTTATACTATAGAAATATAAAATTAGATACAAACTAGAAATACATGCGTGCAGAAACCTCTCGTGTTGCTAGCGAAACAACCAGTATATTTTCCAAACGTAAAGTATTTCTGCTTTAATTTGACGTGGTTGTCATGTCAGTTTAGCTAGCACAATCATTTAACTCTTTTTATATTTTTAAAATTCAATGAAAACTCCAATGTAATTACAAAATGATCAATTTCCTAAATATATAGAGGGTGCATGTATAAAAAAAGGTGATCGAACTTCAGCGCGCTATTATACGTGAATTACTCGGCGTATGAACAATTGGTTTTCATATTCGGAAAGTCAGGCTTTTAGCTATTGAATGACATGCTTTTCATGTCAAGTGGAGAAAAAAAAGCATGTATGAAGCCGATTAAAAACGTTAGTCAAAATCGCATATTTTCACCTCTGTGCCTAATTAAAACAATGCATAACAAAAGAAAAAGCAATTAATGACGAACGTGTCGTAGCTTAGCTAAGATTTATTCCTACTTAATAATAATTATGAATATGTGCGTCGTTTATTGAAGTGAAATTCATCAACTTAAGTACCAAAGGGGGCCATTTTCAATGCATGGTTTTATAGACCCAACTCTCAACGGTGAAAATATGCGATTCTGACTAACATTTTTTATCGGATTCGTATTTGCTCATTTTTTATCCATTTGGCATGAAGAAGGTATCATTCAACAGCTAAAAGCATGATCTTTCCGAATGTGAAACAATCTCGTTCATACGAAGAGTAATTCAGATACAATAGCGCGCTGAAGTTCGATTACCTATTTTTTTATACATCCTGTATGTTAGGTAAGTTATTATGTGTGATATAAGCTTTAATTAAAATATTCATGAAACTGAACAGCACTTATCGATAAACGTTTAGTTTGAAGTACTGATTTCAAATAATGCAATTTTCTTATAAAAATTTATGAAAATAACGTTGATGTCCATATTTACAGGTAAACTACGTGAAGCGTTCCTCTTTTGACTTCCTAACTCATTGGGAATTTTCCTCATTAGCTTTGCAAATTTGAAAAACTCTTTGCAAACCTTGAGGGAATTTGAAATGTTCCTATCGGCTGTTGCAATATTCCAATGCAAAAAACTTCATTTTAAATTTTCCTAACTTTTTGTTTTAATTTCCTGACTTCCCGAGGGTTGTCATTGGTGGATTATTTTTGTTAGCCAATAGCAACACGCAGAACAGAACAGGAAGTTAGTAACTTGTAACAGGAAGTTTGGAACTTGTAACAGGAAGGTAGGAATTTGTAACAGGAACAGAGGAAAATTTAATTGGCTTTCAGCAACATTGCAAATTTCCTCAAGGGATTTGCAAAGGAGTTCTTTAAATTGCAAAGGAAATGAGGAAAATTGCAATCAATTTAGAAACTAAAAAGAAGAACGCTTCACGTAGTTTACCTGTAAAGATTTTGGAAAATCTAAAAAACGTAATTCATAAAAAAAACTACATGCACTGAATACGGTGTCTTTTCCATTATACGCAACGCAAACAAATAAACAACACATCAATATTTGAAACAAACTTACCTTAGGGCTTAGGCTTTACGTTTTCCTGCAATCTATTGCACCTGACCTCTTGTTATAAAGCAAGAACAAACAAACTGTTTGGCTGCTCTATGCTTGGCTTTATATACCATCACCCCAAGAAGCTACAGCAAGTGTTTTTTCAAACTTTAGGAACAATTCATCATACCCCATTTCCCTGTGGATAAGCGCATGCCCAATAAGTGGCCTGATATTTACTTTATTTTTCAATATATTTTAAAGTTAAAATCGTCGTTTAATCGTCGGATAAAAATCCACATATAGGCGCACCCCGGCTCACCGCTCAAAGAATATCTGAAGAAAGCCAAAAAAATGAATAAACACAAGACCAACATTGTCGCCGTCCTACGTACGAGAACTATAGCACTAACATTTAATATCTACAGCCCAGTGGCGTAACGATATATCTGCAGGGGCCCCCGGTTTAAAATATTCGAAGGCCCCCCCAGCAGAAGTGCCAAAGGCACGAGTTTTCTAGGGGTCCAGGGCATTCTCACCCGGAAAAATTTTGAATCTAGACTCTCTGAAATGCCATTTCCCCGACTTTGGGGAGAGATTTTACAGAATTCTGATGGTTATAGAGAACGACGTTGTGACATATAAGAGGCCCTGGCCAATGTTTTTGCTCTACAGCCTGAACCTGGGGGCCCCCATTTGGCCCAATGGGGTTGGGGGCCCCCGCGTTCTCCCGGTCCAAGCCCATAGTAGTTACGCCACTGCTATAGCCAATCAATTTTAACCATTAACATATAAGAAGTTTATAATTATTGATTATTGTATTAGAGATTGAGATTTCTCACGATGACAAAGTTTTTAATGTTATTAATATCTATGTATTTAAAGTTTTCAAAGTTTTTAATGTCTTCTTAAATGCTAAATCGTTGATAATGCTTGCAGGGTAGTTTTTTTCTTAAGATGTCGCTCGAAGATTGCTAATAGACTTTGGAGAGAAGATGTATGCTTTCCCGTCTCTGGTTCTGACCGAATTCATAAACTCAGACGCGTACTCGTTCAGTTCTGTTGTCGGAATATCTTCCATTTTTCTTTCTTCATTATTAGTTTCCAAAAACAAGTGTAATACAGTAATAGTTTTACATCTCGTTCGTTTTTTTTTGTGAGGTAGCTTTAATTTCCTGTCAACAGAACCGGCGTCCGTAAATCACGCAACCATTTTGATTTTCAAATTGTAATAGGTTTCGCGCCAAAATATTTGCGGCGGAAAGCAGCGCATTTTCCCGTACGATCATTTCTCACTAGTGAAAAAACATCGTTCGTCCAATCAGACGGCGCGAACGATGTTGTTTCACTTGTGAAATTTCATCGTTCACGTCGCTGATTGGCTGTGGCAAAATTCCGTACGATTATTACGCAATGTCATTTTAATGAATAAATCTCAGTACTTATATAATAAATAACGTTTCTTGATACAGAATTTGTCTATCGCATAAAGGCGCATGTACCTACATCTGACGGCGGAGGGTGGGGGGAGGGGCTGATATGCGCGGGAATAGAGTAAAAAGCAAAGTTATCTGACTAGTGAAAAACAATTCATGCATGCAGAAAAACCCCGGGGAGAAACACCAGAAAACGTCTGTTGCTTGGATTTAAATTATTAAACACAGAATATTATTGATCGCAGTTGCATCAATCTTACCTTTTCACTAAGTTTTTAGCTTGTAAGTAGGGTATTTTTACCAGTAAAAGGAGCATTTACGCGCAAAACTTGAAATACATTGATCGGAAAACTTTATTCATTTTTCAGCTCCAGCAAAGCCCACGCGAAATACACGCGTGTTTCGTACTACAAGAATTCACTCATTGAAATGAATATTACGGGAACACTATACCTTCTGATAAACTGCTCATCTTTTTCTTGAAGCGAAATCTGACTTCCAGACACGCATGTTGAAATTTGAAGAAAAACAATCACTAAAATGGCCGGAAAAAGAAATTGTCAGCTGATGTGTCCAATAAATTTCGTTTTTATGTCATGTAAAGTGAAGAAACAGGAGCAGGGACGCCGGAACGATAATAAGGCAAAGGGGGGCAGACGCACACCAAGGGCACCTCTATAGATCAAAACTTCAAAATCTACCGGAAAATTTTTTTTTCATGCAAATTTTTTGGGCAACCTCCCCCCAGAGACTTTTTCGATAAAATATACGAAATTTGAAATGGAAAACCCGCTAAACAGAGAGCCAAAGTAGTTTTGAAGATTCTCGACCTTTTTCCTTTCTCGCTCTTGCATGCAGAGCGTATACGTATAAAAAATGTAATTATAATCCAACTTTGCCATATATGATCGTGCGTTTGATATTATTTTTATATATTTACTTTCTCACACCAATAAATGTCAAGTCTTCAGCTCTCAACAACACACTTGCAAAGCAAGGTGGAATTTCGTTCTCGACCAATCAGCGCTTTTGTTACATTTTTGCTAATGCAATTATATGATAATGCAATTGTATTAAGCCCCGGTTTAACCTCACAAATAAGCCTCTCTTCCAAAAATAAGCTCTCCCTGTCAAGGGCTGTCGATATGGGCCATGCTAGCCCAGCAAACATGGCTGGAGTTCTTTTCAGGGCTAGTTTGTCATTTGCCTCACAGGAGTCAGGCTAACTTGGAAAGTGTTGGCAAGAAATTTGTCAGTGAAATGCTAGTTAATTTGTTAATGGCAACAGCTTCAGAAGGCCTATATTAATTAATTTCTTACCTACTTGGGCCAAATTGTGTGTTTTAATAACATGATTTTTAGTCCCCTAGTGAGCTGGTTGGCAAGCTTATGCATGACCTTTTTGCTCAAGAAGAAGCTGGGCCAGTCAATTTGACCAGGCTGGTTCATGTGAATGCAATCTCAAAAATATATAAAACTAATATATGAGGCAGTATTTCACCACGGGTATAGGTATATATTTAGCCCATATAAAACCAGATTGCCCAGTGTGATATATATACTACAGTCAACCTGGTTGATTCTACAACATTATGGCCTACAACGTTCCGATTGTAGTTTCAAGATCTGTTAAAGCTCTGTTTATATATCTGGGCTAGACAGCAAGGAACCCTGAAGGCAACTTCATGTTGTCTGGTTGGGAATGTTTACTGTATATGGTGAATTTATTGGCCTCCATAGCCTGGATCTTGGCAATGGAAACCTCACGCTAAGCCATGCAGGATAGTAGTAGGATTGGATAGGATATACTGGCAAGTGTCATCTTCCACCTAGCCAAGTAATACGAACAGGGCCCAATTGTGACTAGTGAGCCAGATGAAATCATGAAGTGAAAACAATGAAGTTCATATATGTCCATAAATGTTCAGGATATCTGAACAGCAACATTCGGTCCCAAAGTCAGACATCCATGTTTCTTCACTTAGGACTCTGAGACCAATGGATAAATTGTCATTCAAGGATTAAAAACAATGACTTTTTGAAGACAAGTGTTATTGTCAGACAAACGAAAATGTTGACACATTATCCTGAGGTCGACCAAATGTCCAAATCGACGTAAAACGTGGACAACCAACCATTTCATTTTTCTCACATTTTTCATTTTTTTCATTTTTCTCACATTTTTTCCGTATTGATATGCAGTTATATCAACACTCGTGAAAACTGGGAAAACTCGAAATTGTGTCAAAACGTTTCCACACAATTTCTCGTTTTCCCAATTCCCACTCGTGTTGATATAACTGTATATCAACACGGAAAATGTTTTATATTTAACAAATATAAAACATTTTCCGTGTTGATATACAGTTATATCAACACGAGTGGAATTGGGAAAACGAGAAATTGTATGGAAACACGACGCCCGAAGGGAGGAGTGTTTTCATACAATTTCGAGTTTTCCCAACTTCCACGAGTGTTGATATAACTATATATCAATACGGAAAAATGTTTTATATTTGTTTTATAATATAGCAATGTCAAAAGCCCAAAGAATAAGAAAAATTTCCGTGTTTACAAGCGGCGGAAAATTTCCCGTGTTGACATGGAGTTATATCAACACGGCTCTTAGCCAATCAGCGTTCAGAATTTACAAATGCTATATTATAATTGTTAATTTTAAAACGTTTTGCGAAGCGTTTGTGGTTGAATTTTACATTAAAAATGAAGCTTATATTACGTATAATAACATACTTAATATGTATATATGTTTGAGAAATTGATAATTTTGTAATTAAAAGTGATATTTTTAGGGGATTTTTCAATTGTAAAAATATTCTTAATGAATTATCGTGCTACGATGACAACTACTTTAAATACTTCATGTTCGGAAAATACAATGGTTTTGTCAGGAATGCGAGGGTTTCTGCATGCATGTATATATATTTTCTTGTTTATATTATTTATTATAATATAGCATTTGTAAATTCTGAACACGGCTAAGAGCCGTGTTGATATAACTCAATGTCAATACGGAAACGTCGGAAAATTTCTTTCTTTATGTTTCTTTGTGATATATTACAAAACAAATATAAAACATTTTTCGTATTGGGAATACTCAAAATTGTGTGAAAACTGCCGAAAACAGAGGGCTAATTGCTCTTCGTTTGCTTTATTAATTGTTGCTGGGTTTGTTGGGGGAGCCTCCACGATAAAAACATAATAGTTTAGGGACCGGTCATTATTTATGGCGGGGGGTGGCACCGAAGAGAAATGTTTTTCGTAGCAAAAATTTTGCTGACCCAACCATTAAAAAGTAAAAAAAATTGATTACCCAACCTCAAATATCAATTAAAAAATAAATACCCACCCCTGGCCAAAAAATTTACAAAAGGTACCATTCAGTTGTCACATATGTCCTTTATACCACTTCTGTGACATAAGTTTGATAACAGATTGTGAAATTTTCTGCAGTCTGAAGTTTCATGTTGTCTGCACATGTAGCTACTTTCTTTGGATATCCCATCGGAAATTGATCAAGATAGTGACTCTGATTGATATATACTTTTCGTTGTTTCTTTACACATTTAGTAAATCTTAGTATAACACCAAGTTCATCAATTGCTGCTATTTTGCTAGCAAATCCATGTATAATAAACCTGGGTGTTTTGAATCAAAAGTGATGCAACCTGGATAGTGGAATAAGTTGACTACTGTAGGCACAGTTTTTGGCCACTTAATAGTCAAAGGTCATGCATAAATAAGAACAGTCTTTAATATTACCGCCTTAATACGGAGACTTTATATTAATTGTGCTACTCTAGGATCTAGAAGACCCATAGGTCCCATACTTGACTAGCAACATAATCAAGTTAGCTATGTTAATTCATTATATATAGGATCAATGTTAAAGGCAAGGTGGGCTATAAGCTATAATCATTTGTATGGCTTATAGAAGGCTAATTGCTGCGAATAAATTGAATAATGAATGTAGCACAATTTTAAATAGTTGCATGATGACGTCAAAGAAACTAGTCAGACTACATTTGCAAGTTTTGCAACTCTGATCGCTCAAATTCCTCATACCTGAATACAAAATAAACAGTAAACAGTAAACAATGATTACCTTTTACATGCCATATATAAAACGGAGTTTTCATCCTTTCTAGAAACTCACTTCCTGAACTTTTGAGCGCAAATGTAATGTATTAAAAATGTATATCATATTCACAGCGGTTAATACCATTAATATATCGCGGGCGCAATACAAAACAAAACACGAGAATTTTAAAATGTTTAGATTTGCAAATAAATAAATAATATTTGATGTCAAAAAATGTTTAAATTTAACTCAACACAAACTGGTAAGTTCATGACATGTATAATTTACTTATATGTTGTTATATTGCAATTCTGTATCCTACTCCTTTGAAAATTGTTTGCAATTGCATATGATGTGAACATGTGGTCATGTATTCGAAAATTTATTTATTTGTGAAAATTTTATTAATAGCAATGTTTCAAGTGAGATGAATACTTTATCCGAAACCGATTCGGTAGTGAGCAAGTTTACTGACGTTATAGTTAATGTTTCGAGAAATGTCGTAAAAATTAGAAATAGGCAAACACCAAAAAAGAAACGAAAACGCACAATCCAAAAACAGAGATGGTTTAACACGAGTTGTTACCTATTAAAGAAGGAATTAAAAAAATTGGGTAGTTTACTCTCAAAATACCCCAATGATCCCTTTTTAAGACATAAGTTTTTTGCTACTAAAAAAGATTATAAGCGACTTACTAGACGGCTTAAACAAAATTTCCAAAGCGAACTGTTAAATAAGATTGAACTAATGGAGGAAAATCATCCGAAGGAGTTTTGGAAATTGGTAAATTAGATAAAATCAAGTAACTCGTCAGATGATATATCACCAGTAGTGTGGTATAACTACTTCAAAGATTTAAATGAGGTTAAGGTAGATTCTACACAATGTAGCAACGAGGCTAAATTTGTCAAAAATTACCAGCTCTGGACTGTTAAGTCAAATGAGATATTGGATGCACCAATTTCAGTAGAAGAAATTCGTTCATCAGCTAAAAAACTTAAAGGCAAAAAGGCCAGTGCTAGGGACTCAATTAATAATGAAATAATTAAGATTGCTGTGGAGGTTTTCGCTCCATATTTTGTGAAGCTATTTAACTTAATCCTATCAAGTGGGGTGTTTCCTCGGCCATGGTCCGAAAGTTATATAGTACCCATTTATAAGGCAGGTAGCCGTTTAGATCCCGGAAATTACAGGGGAATATGTATAAGCAGTTGCATAGGTAAATTCTTTACTCTAATTCTGAATTCCCGTCTTAACACTTTTTTGGAGGGAAACAAGATTTTAAATAAATGTCAAATTGAATTCAGATATGGGTTTAGAACGTCTGATCACATACTTGTACTAAAAACATTAATTGATTTATACAAGAGCCATAAAAGGCCGCTATTTGCATGCTTCATAGACTTTCGGAAGGCTTATGATAGTGTATGGAGAGGTTTATTCTATAAACTCATTCAGTATGGTTGTAGCAGAAATTTTATTCGTGTTTTACTCAGCATGTATTCTTCTGTTAGGGCTGCAGTCAAACTTAATGCAGGAGTTACTCCTTCCTTTGCATCTAATATTGGACTTAAACAGGGGTGCAATCTTAGTCCAACTCTGTTCAATGTTTTCATAAACGATATTCCTGAATTGTTTATCTCCAAAGATTGTGATCGGGTATATCTGGGAGAAACGAAAGTAGGCTAAATTGTTTACTTTATGCCGATGACCTAGTACTTTTATCACAGTCTGAGTCTGGTCTACAGGAGAGTCTCGCTAAGTTGGAATGTTATGTTAAAAGATGGAAATTGAAAATTAATTTAAAAAAGTCTAAAGTTCTAATCTTTGGAAGTAAATCTCAAAGGCGGCCGTATATATTACGACGAGTTGGTATTTTGGTGGGGATCTGATAGAATGTGTTGATGAATATCCGTACCTAGGAATTACATTTCATTATTGCACGTAAGAGATTGCATAATAAGGCACTGCAGGCTTACCACAGTATTTTTAAAAACTTTTCCAATGTGGATAGGGTTCCGGTTAAGGTGCTGTTAAAATTATTCTCAACTCTTGTTCCCCTATTCTGTTATATTGTTGTGAGATATGGGGAGTATATTTCTTAGGCAGATTGACAACGACCGATATGTTCAAGAACAAAATTTTCAACGTGATTTCAGATATTGATAAGCTACATTTAAAATTTTGTAAACGTATTTTAGGGGTCCACCCCAAATCTACCAATCTAGCAGTGCTAGCTGAACTAGGCAGATTACCAATGTCTGTTCAAATTTCAACTCTAGTTATCAAATACTGGTTAAGAATAAATAGTCCAAATTACAAAAAGCAATTAGTAGGTAAGGCAGTACAGGTGTGCATTCAATCAAGGTATCAGGGTGTGAAATTCTCTGATTTCTTACTACATATGTGTGATTTCGAACCTTTGAGCAGTTATGAAATTCAGTCTAAAAGTGATATTAGTAATTTAGCTAAAGCTATTAAGAAAAGCTATTGAATTATGTAATAGATATAATACCATATGGAAAGATCAGATTCAACAGTGCAACAAATTACGAATCTTAAGCCTTGTAAAACCAAGTTGGCATGTTGAAAGTTATTTGTCTTCGGTCAGAAATGTAAAACACCGCCAAGCGGTTACAAGGTTTAGGATATCTGCACATAGATTTCCAGTTGAAGTCGGTCGATATGCTAATATTGACCATAAGTTACGCCTATGTCCAATTTGTGATTCAAATGATATAGGTGACGAATACCATTATTTTTTAAATTGTAAAAATTACAAGTTAGAAAATCTCAAGGAAAATTTCCTGAAAGAGATACTGGAAATTAATAGTTGTTTTAGTTCACTAGGTAAAAACGAC